TCCGGATTTCCATTAAAGAGCCAGTTGAACTCCTCGGACACTATCTCATTTCCAAATGGTAAAACATTTTAAGTCTTTCAGATAATTTCTCAAGGAGGACTTGACATTTTCAGAAAATCATCTGCAGTAGTTCCCACTAAATTGCTGTATTATAATAATACTTCAATGAGCATTATATACTCTACAATGCTAATGAGGTAGCCCACAGATCTTGGGTTGTTTAAAGGAGTAAACTGAGAAACCATGGAAGGAGGACATGATCAGACACAGACTCTGACTCAACCAAGTCCAGAATCCAGAGATCAGAAACCAGTTCTTACATTTGCCTGTTACTGGACCTCAGTGAACTTCTGGAACCTCAGTGTCCTCATTAATGAAAGGGAAGAAAAGCCCGCAGCCTGCCATGGACTGCCACAGCATAGCAGCAGCCACAGGAAGGCCTAGAAAGTAAACAAAGCTATAAGGAAGGGAGTTGAAACCCTAATGGTTGCTACAGATTTTCACTCCCTCTTTCTCTCATGGTCTTAACCTGAGGACACGATTCATGCTGTGGTGGTGGCTGAAGGGGCTTGTAAAAAGCTGAGACAATCTCCATTTGGGGAGTCCTGGAAAGAGGGGCCCCTCCCTCTCTGGCTTCGCCTCAGATGAGGGCTTTCCCTCGGCAGTCTACTGATCAAAATGCCAAACAGATACCACCTTCTTGGCTAGATTCTTGGGGTGGTTCTGGAGTGGCTGCAGAAGGAGGCCCCCAGTTCTGTGCTCAAAGCTGGAGATTCCAGGTCACTTCTTTGCTGCCCAGTGGCAAATCCAAACCAGCCCGGTTTCATGTTTATTGACTGAGAGGACCCTAAAACCTCCGTCCACCCTAGAGATAGAGGAGAGTCCTGACCCCAGGTTACAGCTAACTGAAGCAAAGAAAGGAAACAATCCAACAAACCCCAAGGTTTAAGCAACGTAAAAATAAAACTACACTCTAAGATTACTCAACAAATAAATGCACCTAAAAGCGTGTAATCAGCTCTCATGGGAAGAGGCGACTTGCCATGCCAATCCTGAAAGGTTGGAACTGTGACAGGCCCGAAAGCAGTGATTATAACCATCCTGTGAGGTCACTGAGAACCTCTGGAATAAAGATGAAGACGAAAAAAAAATACTTGACAGAAACATGAAGGTTTCAAGAGGAACCAAATGAAAGATGTAGAAGTGAAAAAGTAAGTATCTGTAATAAAGAAGTAAGCAGAGGTGCTCAATGGCCAAAGGAAGACGACCAAGGAGCAGCAGAAATCACCCACTGATGACCGAAGAGAAAACTGGAAAAGATGTGAACCAACTTTAGGGCCATATGGAGTAACATGGAGAAGCCGTCACCCGGACCGTGGGAGTCAACAGAAAGAGGAGAAAGTGAGTGTTTACAGATCATGATCCATCAAAGAAAGCACAGTGACCACATACATGAGGGAGGCCATTAAGGTGAACCAATAGAGAGAACAGGGCCCTGAGGAAAGAAGGGCTAGCATTTCACAGGGCTTCACGCTTACTTCTCTTCCAACCACAAAGGGAAGATGGATAGTCTTCCGTCAGACGAACACTTTATGAGATTTTGTACTATATAAAGAGACATCTTCGGGGCCTAGTGTGTGCACACTGTAAAACCTCGAGGTACAACATAAATATTTAATGTGATAATAAAAAGGCTTATTTATTTCATAAAAATAAAAAAAAACCCTGAACAGAAGCAGTTGTTAACTTGCCAGATTCAGTGAAAGACAAGAATTTACAGATTCGGTAAGCTCTGCACAGCCACCCCCCATCGTAACCAAACTGCTAAGCCAAGATGAAGGAACCTTCAACATGGTTAGAAGGAATTGCGGCCAGAACTGCCCACAAAGTACGAACATAAATGTCGCAGCTGCCCTTGGAAAGTAGACAGGAATGTGCTCTCTCTCCTATGGTCTCTGTACTGTGCCTCTGCTCTCTGTGCTTTCCATTTTATTTCTTCAGTCTCTCCATAGCTTTCCTGTACGCTATCCCAAGAGCGTGTTGGAAGACATTGCAGACACATCTTCGACATTATGTCTTCTGATTAACACGTTATTTTTTTCCTCTTGTTAAAAGGAGACTCTTTCCTGACCGATGCCCTGTTGTTTTGTGTGGGAGTGTGTGGGAGTTAGGTTAAGTGTGAGTGTGAGTTCAGGTGTAGGTGTGGTTGTGCAGGTGAACAGTGTGGGGGGGGGAGTCAGGTGTGTGCATGGGTGTGAGTTCAGGTGTGGGTGTGGCTGTGCATGTGTGTAGTGTGGGGGGGAGTTAGGTGGATGTATGTGTGTGCAGAAACACACTGTGAAGTCAGTGGACAGCCTGAGTGTTGTCCCTCAGGTGTCTTCCTGAGGCAGGGTGTCACTGGCCATCACTTTGCCGAGCAGTCCTGTTAGCTGGGGGCTGAACTTGCAGATATCTGCCTGTTCCCAGCTCCCAGCCAGCCAGGGATAAGAGGGATAAGAGGCACATGCAGCCGGCAGCCAGGCTGACTTGTTAACGTGGAAGCATTTTACATCTTCCCAGCCTGGTGGCCTTTTATTTCAATGAGTTCCTTTTAAAATACACACAGGGTATAACAGTGCATCCTTTACTGTCTTGGAGGGATATGGTAAAGAGCAAGTGCTCTCAGAGGAAAAAGATGGAGGAGGTTCCTGTGCCCAACAATTCACTGTAAGACAAGTCAAGTCAGAGACAATCAAAAAGCCTGACCCTCGAAGCCACTCTCCAGAGGGCGTCTGAGAACAATCACTAGTCTCCTCTTTACTTGGTCAGGTTGGGTGCATGTTGGACCCACACTTGGCTGAGCCATGCAGTCACCACAGGGGACTCATAGCCTTCAGCATTAAAGCCGTTTGCAGCAAAGTAGGGGCGCTAACCTCTGCTTTAACCTTCTTTGGCACAAGAAACTAGTGGTAATGAAGTTAAGGCGCACACAATTAGACTCCAAGCTGACTAAAAGGAGTGCTGTCAGCGTGGCATTCTGATTTATTCATCTCTCATCCACCCTGGCCAGCTGCCCAGAGGCCGTGGAGTAGCTCACAACATCTACAGAGGAAGCTGTATGTGCTTCCTCTTCCAGCCACACAGACACATCTATAGGGTAATTGGCATGAAGCAGTGCCAGGATACCACAGTTACAACAGGATGTGAAGGACAGGGGAGACCTAGTTCTGGTTTGGGACTGAAGATCCAGACACCCCCACACAGATGGTTAGCACCCACAGGCATGGATTGGCTCTAGAGTTTCTTCTTATCCATGTAGGAGAAGAGCCAGCCAGTGACCAAAGAAACCATGGTTGACTGTATGAGTCATGCACAGCTCAGTGTCCTAACTGTGTGCACTCGGACACACCTGGCCTAGCGGGGTGAGAAGGGTGTGGTGGAATCAGCTAGGCTTTTCGTTTAGTTCTCCATCCCTGATTAGAAGCTAGGCCTTCTGAAGGATGGTTCATAAGGACCAAGCAGGACCATGACTCTCACACAAGGCCCTGTCCCTCCTCAAAGCTTCCCAAAGTCCTTGGTCAATCCTGAAGGAGGCTTCCTGAACTTCAGGGTTCTCTCTTTAGAGAGATTGTGCGAGGAGATGGGGAAACAACGGAGCCTGGGCCTAGTCTGGGTTCTACTTGGTGTCTGTGGGAAGGAGACATGGTCTTCACTCCTTCAGTAAAGAGGAAATGATACCCACTTTTAAAAGGGGGTTTCTGGGCATCTCGGCAACATGCGTGCATGGAGGGAGAAAGAGGATCTGAAAGGAGAGTCATGGATGGGAAACACAGGTGTGGAGAGGCGTGGGCGCTGGCTTGGACTTGCTGGTCTGAGCTGGAAAGAGTGTTAATTCTATTCTCATTTCTATAAGAGGATGGTATCAATGAAGCCTTCCAGCCCTTCTCACACTTGCTGCTATGGTCCTCAAATGCGGTGCCACTGAGAGGCAGCACTAGAAGGTCGGGCCTCGGGGGAGTAACTGTGTCACTGGGGGATGGACCTTGAGATTAAAGGAGCTCTTGCAGGGCTCAGACTCTTGCCCAAACTGACTGAATGAAGACTGGGCCTAGCCCTTGACTCTCCCGGCTCCATCTCTCTTTGGGGGTCTCTCCTACCGTGATGCCATATGTCACATCTGATGTATACATGCTGGCATATACTCCTGACTCTCCAGAAATGTGAGCTAAGTAAACTTCTTCTCTTTATGAAGTACTAAGTCTGAGGCATTTTGTCAGAGCAACAGAAAATGGACTAACACTTGTTCTTCCCTTCCTTCATTTTTTTTTTCTAACATGGCTTTTTTAAGTCAGCCAGGAATGTCCCCACCATGCTTCCCTCATGTGGGCCATGCCCCATTTTTCTATAAAGTATGCAGAGACAGGAATGCAAGAAAGTTACCCTCCCTTCTCCCCCATGTACCATGATAACTGTGAACGAATGGCACATATTTGTCACCATGTCTCCTTCTGTGGGTGGACTATGGTTAACCCCAGAGAATGTTCCTTAACTGACATTTTCCCACGCTTGATTAAAATTTCCTCCTATTTAGTTGGTGCCACAACTTCCCTTTACTGTTCCCAGCCTTGATAATCACTCGGGACACGTTTCAGGCTCTTACCTCTCTAGTGGAGTTTTACTGCGCTTCTGAACTCTAGTTTACAAAACAAGACCAGTTCAAATGGGAGAAAACACAATCCCCGAGAACCTGGTTTGCCAACATTTGCTCCAACTCAGCAGATGGAACTAACATCCAATGAATGCAAGGTTCATCACAACATGGTCCAGCCATTTAAAACATTTCACCAGAGGTCATTGCAGAGTGAGCCAGCAGAAGGGCCCAGATGCAAAGGTCAAGGCTCAAATTAAGAGAGTGCTGTTAGATTAGAGTGATTGACTGCTGAGGCACCAGAAGGCACACGTTTTGGGGCTACTTGGGAAGAGACAGACTTTGAAAAGACGCAGATATGAAGTCTCCTTACCTGTCCTCAGTCAGTTTCATTAAGGTTGTCCCTCGAGTAGAGAAGACGATGAAGGACATCCTGAGCTGCGGGCTGCAAAGGAAAGAAACTCCATTAGGCCAGCCAGAACACCTGGGGTATGTCAGCCCCTTCCCTGCCTCCTTCCGGTTTTTATCTTTGTATCCCAGCTCCCAGAGCTGAGGAACTAAATGGGAGCTCCCAGAGGGTGTGGCAAGGATTTAGCCAATGGCCAACTTGAAGGTCTGTGTCTCCCTTCCAATAGGAGCCTGTCACACAGTGGATATATCACAGTAAGAAATATGTGCTCCATCCCAACCCAGGACTGGAAGGGGACCGGAAGGGGAAGGAGTCTATGAAACAAGTAATCCTGGCAGAAAATTCTGACAGCATCTTCAAAGAAAAAGGGTATCTCAGAAAGTGTCACCGTTTGCTTAATCCCTTCCCTGCTGCCTCTGAGGGATGCTGGACCACAGGGGGTCTCTCCTGCTCAGCGGAGACATGACTCATTTTTAATGAATAAATCAGCATCAACATTACACACAGTACTCAAAAGTTTTCCGTGTAAAATTCACTCTCTGGGTAACAGGGCACTTTTATCTGGCAAGAAACACAGGAAATATGCACAGGGATTGGCAACTGGCTACTGTCCTGTGGGGCCCTTATGGGGAGGCCAACTGGTCAACCAATGTAGCACCAGCCTATGTCTTCACAAGGCACTGACCTCCCAGAGCTGATCTGGCTCTGATCCTTGCACACACGGGCCTCTTTTCATGGCTTAGCTTCAGACCTGTTCCTCAGTCACCTGACCCTCACAGCTGTCTCCTAGCATCACTCCTGACTCTGCTGCATTCTCATGCTGCTCCCCAAATTATATCTCATGAAACAGAAATCAGGTATGTTGTCACTTAACTGCCTTAAGGGCTCTAATGGCTCTGGCTACTCTTAGGATGAACCTTCCATTATTTCCATGTGCCTGACATATCTTTGATCAGGGTTTTGCTGTCACTGTTTTAGCAGAGTTGAGACGCAAAGGAGATTAGACAGGGGTGAGGGAGTCGGCAAGAAAGTAGAAGCTAGAAGAGGAACAAAAGCATCCATGAGACTAGAGACAATGGCAAGGGATGGCCAAAGAGGGAGAATGGCTTAAAGGGGGACAGATGGATGGAGGAAGGACATGCACGAAACTCTTAGGAGCAGGACCGTGTGCTGAGGGAACATTTGTCTACTTTCCTCTAGGCTCTCAATGACTAAAACATGGGACTATTTTCCAAGAGCGATGGATGTGAGGTGTGGGTTGGGAGTTCAAGGAACGGGTGAAGATTGAGAATCATTTGGGAAGCTGGTGGGAGTGGTCAGAATAAAGGGAACTAAAAGGGAACTCAGAAGGATCCCTGTGCAGTCAGCAGTGACATTTGTGCTGGTATCAGCCACCATTATTGCATGGGCTGCCTCTGCCCCAGAGCACGGCATTTAAAAAATAAATCCCGTCATCCACTCAGCTTTTTGAGAAACTTCCACACTGATTTCCATGCTGTCTGCATCAGTTTTCACTGCAATAACAGTACCTAAGGACTCTCCCTTCCACACATCCCCACCAGCATTTGTTTTCTAGGTAATGGCCACTCCAACTAGGATGAGGTGGAGTCTCAAAGTAGTTTTAACTTGTACTTCCCTGATGGTTGGAGATGTTGAGCACAGCTTAAAATGTCTGTATCTTTTCTCTTGAGAATTCTCTGTTCAATTCCATGGCCCATTTTTTTCCCCCTTAGGTTGTTTTCTATATGGCTAATTTTTGAGTTATTTAAATGATTTAGATGTTAATCCTCTTTCAGACCTGTAACTGGCAAAGGCTTTATCCAATTCTATTGGTTGCTTCTTCACTTGATTGACAGTTTCTTTGCTGTTGGAAAACTTTTTAATTTGTTAATCATCCACCTTACCTTCTGACTAACTAGAGTCCTGTGCAGAGAGTCCTTATGAAATTCTATTCATAGAATTTCAAGTTTTCAGTTGAGGTCCTTGCTCCATTTGGAGTTTATTTTTTTTTGTTCAGAGTGAGAAAAATGGATCTAGTTTCTTTCTTCAACATGTACTTACCCAGCACCATTTGTTGACAATACTATTCAAGAGTGTTCCCTAGTACTTGACGCTGCTAACAGCCTTTGGGCTGTTGCACAAACAAACTCAGTGGCTGTTCTGCCCCCACACACTGAGGGTCTATTATGGTCTGGATATGAAGTATCTCTCTGAAAGGTTTATGTTTTGGAGGCTGATACAAGCATTGTTTAGAGGTGGGGATTTGGGCAAATCCATTGGATCATGAGGGCCGGCCTTTATTGATGGCTCAGTCCACTGATGGACGCCTGAAAAGTCTGCTGAGAGGTAGTGGAACTGTGCAAGGCGGAACCTAGGTGGAGGAAGTGGCTAACTGCGGGTGTTCCCTTGAAGTCCTGCCAGGTCTCCAGTCCCTGCCTGATGCTGTCTCTGCTTCCTGCCCACGGTGAGGCAAGCGGTGCTGCTACACCACATGGGCTAGGATATTCTACCTCACCACAAACAGCGGAGGTAGCATGACATGAAACCTCTGCAACCACGAGACAAAATAAACTTTCCTCCTTCTAGGTTGTTTTCCAAGCGGTCTGTCACAGGGAAAAGGATGACTAACAGCAGCCCATGGCTAAGGAATCCAGAGGGAGAGGACCAGAGGAAAGCACCTTGAGGTCTAGAGCAAGGCATTGGAAATGTCCCTAATTTTTTTCTTTCTTCACTTGTGAAGCAGGGGCCTGGGCTAAATGTTCTCTCATTAGCTCTACTCTGTCTCTGACTCTAAGATAGTGAAGAGATGGACAGGGAGGCAGTGCTGGAGACCCACTTTCAGGCAGATGCTGGGGGATGGGACACACAAGCCTCTTCTGGAAGCTGGGATTCAGCCAAGGTTAAGCCAATCACTAGCGTTACACAGGGAGCCTGGCTGCAAATTCATGTCGCCCATCAGGATCCTTCTCCGCTGGGCTCCTCTTCTCAGAGGGAGAAAGGAGAACAGCAAGCAGAGACAGAGCAGAAGCTATCAAGGACTTGGAGGTAGATGTGTTGTACGTCACTCGAAAGGGTCTGTGGGTGACAGTGCAGGGGAGGGCATTTGGCTCCCTAACAAAAAAGACTCTAAACTGAAATTGTCCAAAAGGGGGAAGTTTCTCACCAAAGTTTTTCAACTTGAGGCTCCTGAATGGCTCTCAGACTAGAATGGGAAGTCTTTCCTTTTAATTTGATGTTCCATTTGTCCGAGTTTTTTTAACATCACACATACACTGTTGTGGACATTCTGGTTTATGATATGTAAACATGTTTTTGTTAAAATTCCAAGTTGGGGATTTTAGTTTGTCCACACCTGTTAAGTGTCTTGTGCTGACCGTGGTCTTTGCCAGGTGGAATTGGTTGGACTTGAGGACTTTGAGGGGTATAAACATGACAGCCCAGAGGAAGGAGGCACAGCTGCTGGAGGAGGCCTGCTCGCTGCTGGGTCGTCCTGCTGCTGCATTTGCTGTTTGCTGATTTGCCGGTTACTTGGATTTCTGACATTGGTAGGATTTACCCTACCCAACGGGAAATAGCAGTCCCCCGTCCCCACTAACCTTCTTTCCCTCCTACCACATGTTGCGGGGTTGAGAGAGAGGCAGAAGCAGTCTGCACCCAGTAGCTTGGTTGGTCAGGACAATCCTGAGGAGCTTCACCCATCAAGAAATCCCTTCATATATCAATTGATCGATTGGGTTAACCTCCATCACTGCCCAGTCTCGCCGTCTTCATTCCCCCACAGGTTTGTTCCTGAGAGAAATCCCCCAAGAATTCTCCATATATAAGTCTCAGCCCGTGTCCTCAGAAACCTAATCTAAATAAAGTAGGTTTGTTGAAAAAAAAAAATCCAGGGCAACAACACAGTTTCTCTGCTTGTCTGTACTAGTTCTCCGAGAGGAAAACTCTCAGCACCTGCTTTGCTAAGTGGGTTTCGGTGATTCCTGCTGCAGGTTCAAGGACACCTGCCGCCCTTCCTTTTCCGTCAGGGAGGTAAGAGTATGCTGCTCCATGACAAACATGGGAGGAGACTGGGTGGCGTTGCCCTGGGCTCAGAGGCTCGTCTGCGTTATAGAAATGGACTGAAGAGTTCTGTGCTCTCATGTTGGTCTCTATGGAGACCATCTACCACCGGGGTGAGGGGGGGCTGTACAGAGCTCACAATGCTCACACCCGCTGCACCAAGGTCCTTGGCACTGTGCTGCAGGTGCATCCGTGAAAGCTGTGTGATCCCACAGAGGGTGATGTCATCTCCTTTACTAGTGGGTGTCCTTTAGTAGCACCTCCACAGTTCATAGTGACCATGCTCCTTCCTCCCTGTGTAGGTGTGGTCAAGCCCACAGGAAGGATGGGCGGGGGCGTTGTAGGTCATGTGACCAGCCATGACTTGCTCAGGGCTACGGTGTGTTCGAATTAAAACCAGAAGGCCTGTGAGCAAACTGGCCTGAGCACTACCGTGGCCTAGCACTTTGAGCCCCCTTACCCACAGGCCCAGTCGGCGTGCACTCCCCACGGTGTCAGGGAGTTATCAGTATGGTAGGTGGGCTGGAATCACTGTCAGACACGAAAGAAGAGAATGTTGAGTGCGCTCACCTGATGAACCTGTGAGCCAGCTGCTCCACAAAGTAGTAGATTTCATTCCAGTGATGCAGCACGCTTCCGGACCTACGGGACAAAGAGGCCTTCTGTCAGCATCTTTTCAGTCTACTATCCTATGCAGAACCAGCCCATTAACAGTCTCATTCATTACCTAAATAAATCTGGAAATGATCCATAAGGCTGTTTTAAGATTTTTGAAGAATTCCTCCAACTCCATCTTCCACACGTCCCCCTGCTCCAAACTCTTAAAAGTAAAGCAAGCAAACGAAAAAAAACCCAGGGCTTAAACAGGGCTGGTTCCAGGTCTTGATGACATGATTATTTCTGTGCTCCTCTAAGAAGAGGTTCTATTCCAATTCCATTGAGTAAAATCAGCAAAATGAACTGTGGTGGTTTGAATGAAAATCGTCCCATAGGCTCCTAGGGAGTGGCACTATTAGGAGGTGTGGCCTTGTTGGAGTAGCCTGGCACTACTGGTGCTGCCTAAGGGGGATGACCACTAAACCATGAGCCCCAGGAAATCTTTCCAGTGTGTCACATTAACATCAAACCACTGTGAGAAACCTGGCCGCAGTGAGGGGAGACTCAGTCGGGGGAGAGAGGAGGAGCTCTTTACTGCACTGTGTAAGAATGGGGCCTTGTGCAGTGAGGGGAGACTCAGTCAGGGGAGAGAGGAGGAGCTCTTTACTGCACTGTGTAAGAATGGGGCCTCATACCTAACACAACCCTGGCTAAACCCAAACTCCATTTAGGGAGCTGGTCTGCCTGTGAGATCCCCTACCTCGCCAACCACCCAGCAAATCACAGCTTAGAACTCTGTCCCTCCCCTTCCTTACTATGGAAAACACCCACGGGGCCCCTGGGTGGACCCCTGCCTCTCCAGGAGTTGAAGATGTAGATCCTTTGTCTGATATACTGTCTTGCTCTGCTCCAGCCCTTTGCCTTTTGACTGATTCTCCAGTTACAAACTTCCCTAGAGGCCACTCCCAGTGTAACTGACCCTTGGTAGCTCAGACCTGAGGCCAATTGACATTCTGAGCTCAGAATCAGATTCTGAGAAGCTAGGTGTGGGCTGGGAAAATGGCGGCATGTATTCAAGTTCAGCTTTTCTGCACCCAGCAGTGTTTTTAATCTCATATGATATACCTCCTGTTGCATTTGTCTGTTTATGAGAACGGAGCATCTACCAAGGATCAGGCACGGACTAGACCTGGGCCCCCTACATGTATGTAGCCGATAGGCAGTTTGGTCAGCATGTGGGTCCTCTAGTAAGGGAAGTAGGGGCTGTCTCCAACAAGGACTCTATTGCCTGCTATCTATTCACTTCCCCCTGGCAGGACTGCCTTGCCAGGCCATCAGGGAGGAGAATGGACTCAGTACTGATGTGACTTGATGTGCTGGAGTGGGTTGAGGGGTAGGAGAGAAGGAATAGGAGAAAGAGGGAGGGAGGGCGAAACCAGAAGGAGAGAAGGGAGGGGCTACCATTGGGATGTAGAGTGAATAGAACAAATCAATTTAACAGCGTGACTACCTACAGCCCGGCCTCGTTGGACTAACCTAGTCATTGCTACCCAAGCTTCAAAGTAGAAACAAAAACTTCCTTCTAAACCCAGATCGAAGCAACAGCAAAAGATGTTCAGTCCATTGGACTTGGTGGGTCTGAGCCACCGAGGGGCTAGTGAAGAAGCTGCTTCTTGGGATTTTGTGTCTCTAATCTGCAAGCACAAATTTCATCATAATTTGGAATTAAAATAGCCTTCCAGGAATCCTGCCTGGGGACGGAATCACAGAATTCCCTGTTTGAAGAGTCAGTCAACACCCCTGAGATCCAATCAGAGCCACAGTCACTGTCCTCTCCCAGTATCTACTGAGGTGGGTTTGCAAAAGTGCTCACCACACACGGGGGGAGGGAGAGAAGCCATTCATCTCCACTGTGAGTCCCTGCCAATGATCACTGCTGACAGCAGTTCCAAGGTGCCTTATTTTTGTTTTTCTAGTCTCCAGCATTTGAAGTATGAAAAAAAAAAAGCCAAGAAACATTTGACAGCACACTCTCTGAGGGATTCTGTGTGGAACAACCTGGCATTGCCCTCAGGTGACAGTCCAGTCTCGCTCCAAGGGCCTAATACACAAAGAGCAGGGCCCAAAGCAGAATCCCCGACCTTATCCATTTGCTTTCTGAATAAAACAGCATTCGCTTCTGTTTCTGAGTGTGTCTAACCCCCGCTGTGGTTAAAGGCCTTGGAAAACCCATTTGCTACACAAGCAGCCAGAGTGTAATGAACAGGAGAAGCAGGCGTGTGGCCGGACTCCCTACCGGCAACCTCTTCCCCCGGAAGGGCAAAGTAGCCAACACCGAGATTACAAAATGCTAAGTCCCCACTCATCCTTGGCTGCACCTGGCTTAAGTCACTGATGCCAGTGACCATCTTGGGTCTCCTGAGTGGGTACAGATATGTTCAGTAACTTCACAGACGTTGGGTGGACCCAAAAGCTCTCTTGCCACTACTCTCCCAGCTTCTTCCCCTATCCTCTTTTCTCTCTCTCTTTCTACATCCCAAGAAGTTGGAGCCTCATTTTGGCCTTTATTGTCTGTTCTCTTGTGGCCACAGCCAAGCTTCCCTCCTCGACCTTGACTCCTACTTCTGCTTCAACTTCAGATGGCAGTTCACATCCAAACCACGTCACTGAGCACCTTTCTCTGCCCTTTGTCTGGGGACACCCATCCTGCCCCATGTGGCGCTGCGCAGCCGTGATTTTCAGCCCCTACTGCCACATGACTTCCCCTTAGTCAAGCCAACTGATGGCTTTGAAAACAATGACGCTCACACTGCAGAATGCACTTAGAAAGTTGGGAAATCAGCTACTGGGCTGTTGCCAATACTTCTTCTTCTTTTTTTTTTTTCAAAGAAGTGAAACATAATAAGATTGAAAAACCAGAATGCGCTGCTGAAAGTAACAGAAAGCAGTGTTCTAGAGAACCTCTGGTTGGCTGTGCAAGTACTGTTCAGGATCCACGTTAAGATATAAAGTCCATTTTTTTTCCTGTGAATCATGAGTCAAAAGGTATTTTTAACTAGATAGGTATTCTGTTTTTCTCCACTCTGCCTTTCCTACACACAAACACACACACACACACAAACACACACACACACACTGACATACACATACCACACACATACACATACCATACATACATGTACCCACACAGGAATGTACCCACCCATACATGAACACACCCATACATGCACATAACCAGGAAAAGCTTACACACAATTTTTGCATATAAACTACTGGCAGTTTTGGGTACAAATTCAACAAAAAAGGTGACTTTGTTGTTAAGACAGCAAATATTAAATTGGCTTAGAAGGCGCCATCCTTGGCTGAACTTCATGACCCTGGATTCATTTTTTATGTTCCCCCAGGTTCAGAGATGACTCCATGAGAGCTGCAATGCATCCCTCAGAGAGCTGAGAAGGGGTGGATTAATGTCACCCAAAGGCAGCCACTATGAAAAATTGTCACTTGTGTGGAAGTGACATAGACTGAAGGTCCACGGGACAGGATTCTAAAATGGAGCATCATCAAAGCAACCTGTTCACCAAGAAACATAGTACAGAAGACAAAGAGACAGACCTCGAGGCCCATTTTCCCTCTGCAGGTCAGACTCAGGCTCTGCTGGCCCCGAATCTCCTCCCCCCATACCTGAGTCAGACACGGGCTCTGCTGACCCCAAATCTCCTCTTCCCACACCCAAGTCAAACATGGGCTCTGCTCACCCCACATCTCTCCCCCCCCCACACACCTGAGTCAAACATGGGCTCTGCTCACCCCACATCTCTCTCACCGCCCCCCACACCTGAGTCAGACATGGGCTCTGCTCACCTCACATCTCCCCCCGTCAGACATGGGCATGGCTCACCCTGCATCCCATCCCCATCAGAAACAGGCACTGCCCACCCTGCAGGGACCCTCACCCAGACATTCCCCCAAGCATGAAGCCTCAGACCAGGGACCCTCATCTCTTCCCCTATGAGCACATTTTCATTTCCTTTCATATAACATTGCCCACATTGTCTGTAAGGTCAGCATCTACTCCATGTTCCAGAAGCATCAGACAGAAGTAGGATGTCTTCCTTTTGCACACTGGCTGGTTTCCATTTCTTTTCACTTTTATAGCACCAATAAGTTGAGCACTTTTGTGCTGTGTTCTTTGACACATAGTGGAGAAGACACTGTGGATTTCTGCTGCACTTTTCTTTCTGGCAATGCCACAGGAAGCAATCCTTTCTGCATCACTCGCTCAAGAAATGTGCCCCAGAGAGGCAGTGTGACAGAGCTCCTCCCCTTTGCTCCTTGAGAACCTCAGAAAAGAGGAGGACCAGGACCGATTCTACGAAGGAGGAACCATATCAAGTAGACAAGGGACATATGAGGACCAAAGATTTCATTAGAGTTTTCATGTATTTAGTAACAAGCCACAGAACTTTAGAAATACTTATTGTTCCTGTGATTTCCTTTGTTAGCTTTGGGACTAGTGCAGAAGGAGAATGCTAGGCCTTGTTGAAAAGTTATTAAGGATTTCAAGATGGCAATAGCAGAGCATGTGGCCAAATGCCAGCCCTTCTCACCGAGGGCACGGGTCCCAACCACACAGGCACACGCCCAGAAGGCCAGCCTCGATAATGATGCTCTGCGCACATTCCTATGGCTTTCAGATGTTTTCTCAGTTCATGGCTCAGTCAACTTTTTCTGTGAAGAGCCAGACAGTAGAAATTTTGGGGGCCCCCTTGGGGAAGGTGGCATAACATATGGTCTCCATGTCAACAACTCTTTTTTTTTTTAAAGCATAAAAACAACATTGAGCCCTAACTAATAAACATGATTATGGTACAACAAAATTTTATTTAGAAAAACAGGGGCCAGCCATAGTTTGCCAACTTCTGTGCTAGACAGCCAGCTACTTTCTTTCTAAATTTTTGTTTAGGCATTGTCCTATCTTCCCCACGCAATGCTGATATAAAAAGCACACATGTCCTCCTTATAGCTGAGGTTGTGGGGGACTT